TATTGTTTTCATTGCTATTTCTGTATTCTGAGATGTTTTCTATTTTTTGAATATTATTGCTATTTTATATCTTTTGTATCTAAGGTATTTTATGAATATTTTAAAAGTTTTATCTGGGTAAATTTTAGAAATAGAACGCTATATTAATTAATAATTATAGAAATAAATTCTTCAATTAAATTATTAATATAATGTAAGTTAATATTAATGAAGTTATTTAGATCTGATTGGGATCTATTAATCTAATATTTGTTTAATCAATAAATTTAAATTTCCAACGAGAAAGAAAATTATTATAATTTGTAGATTGTTTGATCTTAATTAGAATAAAAAAGTGATCACTATCATAATTTACTGAGAATACTATATACTATACAACTATACTAAAATGGATTGATTATTATCATTTAAAATGATAATATTATATTGAGGAGGATTTTTTCTCTAATTAATTAATCCTTTCCGGATTCTAAAAAATATTATAACTTTTGAAATTGTCAAGGAACACAAAAGAATACGGTAGAATATCAATTATTTTATTTATTTCTGACTTATTAAATTAGTAAATAAGAATATAAATGTAATTATAAGTCTAAGGAAATACGAATTTTAATTACAATTATTTTCATATTAAAAGTAATATTTAATTTTTTTATATTTAAAAAATTTTTAACTAATGCTGTTCTTCCACTAATAATTTAGAAATTTTAGTTAGTAATAAAAGAATTATAATTTTTAATTTGTTAATTAAATTGTTAATTAGATTTTAGAATTTTTCTTGTAAACAAACTATATTAAATATATATAATTAACAAATTTTTAATTACGGAAAGTAAATATTAATCTTAATAGAGATTAAGTTGTAATTTATAAAATAAGAAATAATTAATGATATAATGACTTCCGAATCACAATCAGTTGATGTTGGTGTGGAAAGATATAAATTGATAAAATATCAGATAAACTAATATTAAGTTTTTTGATAATTCTGTGAATTCTATTTTTGATATTTTTTTTCTAAAATAAAATAAATTTTAATCAACATTTTAATTAATGTTAAAATATCATGTGTACATTTATATGTTATTTTAATAGGGTTATCAGCTTTAATACATTTGCTAAAAAGCTGATCAATTAAACAAGATTGATAGTAAAATTTGATTGAATAATTTCAGTTGATTTAATCATAACACTAATGTTGCTGATTATTTTGTTTCATGCATTTATTAATTAATAATTGTATCATTTGTTGATGCGACAGAGTTTTTTGATTTTCTATTGGGATTTTTGCACGTATATTTTTGCATGTAAATAATGCTTTTTTAATATCTGAATTTGTAGTTAATTTAACTTAATTTAACATAATTTTCATATTAGATATAAAATCATTTAAAAGAAGTTTGCTATTATTCATGTTGTTTTTATTGGATTCAATTAATTTTATATTTTCATTATTAATTAAAATTGTTATTTTAATAAAGATTTCGCATTGATTAATCACATGTTTTTCTTACATGAAAAATATTTTTAATTGAATCATGAATAATTAAATAAGATTAAATAAGAAGAAGATAATAATTAAATAAAAATTTTTAATACATTTTTAAAATTAATGAAAATTTGTTATTCATAACAAATGTGAAGATTCATAGATTCTCAAATTCTTACTCGAAGAAAGGATATCGTATATTATGATTCATAAAAATATTTTCTATGTTCGTATGTATAGTTGGAAAAACACTAAAAATAATTCATGAAAAGGATTGAGTCAAAGGAGGAGTCAATAATGAGCGTATCATTAATTGATAATTTGAGATGCTTAGATACAAAATTATTGGCTGTATCTTTATTATCAAGATAAATGTAAATTCAACTATTTGAAATTCGAAAGACAAATTGTATAGCATTATGACCGTAAAGACGACTGACGAATTATAATTTCAGTCATGACAAAAACATTTATGTTTGTATCATCAATTATAATAGCTTATTCTTTGTGGCATAAAATTTTGAAAATTGTAAATTTAATTCATTCGATAATTTTTCATTTTTTCAACAATATAGCTTCCATATTTAAACTTTCAGAAGTTGATCAATCTTGTTGATAAATATGCAATGAATATGAAATAATAATTACTTATACAGAATATACCACAATAGAAAAAAAAAGATTAAAACAAAACAATCTTTAATCATTAACATGGCGATAATATATTTGACGATTCACGATAAACATATCTGATCAGTATGACTGAGTTAGAGATAATTTTTATATTATCATTATTTTATTACAAATCGAATACATGATGTAAAAAAATTATTTCAATGATGTTGTCGGCCAAGAACTTTTTTAATTCCTTAAATCAATTTTTAATAAAAAATATTATTGATGGAACTCAAATATCACTTATTAAAATATTCGATATATTCAAATTCAAATTCAAAAAAGTCATTTAAATTAAAAAAATTCAAACACGTCTGTTAAAGTACTATCTGATAACATGTATTTATAGACAAAAATTATTTAGAATAAATTTTAACCAATATATTTTAACCTTGTCAAAATCGAGAAATTAAGAAATCGTTAATATAAATAATTTTTCCATCTTAAAAAATAACGATTATTCAAAGTGAAGTTATTGCTCCATCTTGTATATAATTATTTCTGCCTTAAATTCCATATTCGTTTTTCATTCTACCACGATATCTATCACTAATAATCTAAAAATAAGAATTTTTTTTTTTAAACAAGAAACGAACATATATTCAAAAAAGATTGAAGACTTATTAAGTATAAGAATTCAATATTAAAAATCTAATTCAAATGTATAAAAATTTAATTTTTTTATCAATAAACATAATATGTAGTGAATATCATAAATTTATATAAATTTTCATTTACCACAGAACTAAAATAATAGTCAAGTAAAAATTTTTAATATCATTAATTTCGATTTTATATAAATAATTATTATATATAATTAGACTTAAAAAAATTAATTAAATATGCGAAAATTTTATTATTTCATATTATTGAGAATTTTTTTTATATAAATGAGATTTTTCTCCTCAGAAGATTATGTGAAATATAATCTTTGCTAATTTCTGATCATAGATCCTAATTTTTAATATTTTTTTAGACTAATGCGAATTATCCAAATTTTAGATATATAATCAATACAAATATAAGTATAAAGTATTTTTTGTTTATTGTTTAGAAAAAGTAAATAAAGTAAAAAAGAAAAAGTGTAGAAAAAAATCAACTATAATTAATATATTTTTTCAAATTCAATTTTGAAACAAATTTGATTCATTTATGTGAAAAATGGATGCGAAATATACGTATAAAAAACAATAAAGAATAAATGAATAAAAAGGATTGATTTTTGCTATATCTACAAAATTATTCGACAAAAACTAATCTTTTTTCAATATTTTTGTCAACTATATCGTATCATCCTTCGCCAATAAAATCAATTTGATTTTTATTTTGATTGATTTGTTAAATTTAATTTACCATAATAAAATCTTTGTCAAAATATACCATTCTGAAGTTATTCCATTTTTTATTTACTGAGAAAAAAGAAATTTACAAATATTCTGGTTTATTTTCTTGAAGTAGAAGACTAATTTCTTACTAAGTTCTTACTTACAGTTCTTTAAAAATCAAGATAAACTTTTCAATAAATTTTTATTTATATACATTAAAAATGAAATAACTTCAAAACAATATATATATTTCTAATAAAAAATATGAATACATATGAATGACTTATCTCTGTGCCCTGTAAGTATTTATTGCAACTTGTCTGTGATAATTAAAAGGCTGAATTTATTGCATGAGCTCTGACAGTGTGTCATCACTGCTTTTTTCAGTTTCACGAATCATCAACATCGCAAACGGAGCACAGTTGAAAAATTGCTGAGGGCGATTATATATATTGAATGCTCTGGTACTTATCAGAAGGGTCTACACAAATATATACAATATTGCACGTATTAGTCGTGCTCAAAGAAAAGACAGTATAAAGAGAGATTATTGTTTGGCCCGCCAGATTATCCAGAGGCGTCGTTTATCTCGATTAAAAAGGTCACAGTTGCAGCGTAATCAACTTGCTATACACTATCAATCGAAGAATCACATAATACCGGTATTATGCCGTTGATTTTGGCATTCGAATCACTTAAATGCTTTAATAACACTCTTCTATTCGTTGACGATTAACTTGCTTGTGTTCGCACTCTGTTTCGTGTATCTATTAAATGCACTTATTGCACTTGATTTTAAATTGAATATATTGTATTTAAATTTTATCTTAAATGTATATATTATGCATATTTAAAAATCATAAAAATATTATTTCGAAATTTTAAAATGATATTCTACTGAAATTACCATACAAACATGCGTTAAAAAAGGACTAAAATGTGTTCACAGTTTTCAGTACATTGAAGTTTAAAAAATTAAATGAATTAAAAAATTCCAATTATTGATAATATTATTAATATTTAAATTAAAATTAGATAATATCCTGCAATCGTATATTGATCATATACTATGCAATATATATATATCATAACTTCGAATGAATTATCTACATTGTGAAAGAAATGATAACAAGTTATGAATAAAAAAAAGTATATACATATTGTGATTAATTCCAATGAACTGAAAACGTAAACTAAAAAATTATTTTATATAAAGTTAAATTCATTCCCAATGTATTCCCAAATAAAAAAGAAAATCTATTCATCTAGGTTTCATCATCTCAATTTTTCGATTCAGGATCAAAGAAAAATTCATAGAATAATTTTTCTTGTAGATATTTATTTTTTTTTTTTAACCATCATAAAATTCGGCTTATTATTTCTTATTGATCATTTCCAACAAATATTTATCAAAAAAAAATTGAAATGTGTGTATATATACATGTTTGTACTAACAAATAAATTAGTTTGCATAATATAGTGTATTAGTTATCCGGCGCGGATGATTGCAGAGCATAAGATCTCGTGCGCAATTTATCAGCGACCAGGAAAGCATCGTCACTCGTAACATCACGAAAAAGGAGACTACGGAAAACAATTATTATGGAGGATTACGAGGTGGCAAGCCATTTACAACCAATAACAGTCTAGCCTCGGCAACAAGAATAATAAATCATCATTTATTTGGCTCTAACATTGGACCCAGACATTACACAGGTAAGTAATATAATGATATACTTTATATATCACTATAAAGTGATGTGTGTAATATATAATTTATAATGATTACTATGATACTTTCGCTATATTGATTTGTCTTGATAAATCAGCAAGTATCAATTGTTTTTTCAAAAAAATATTTTTCTTGTTTTTTTTATTAAATGTATTGGGAGTAATCTAATAATTGATATTTTATTATCAACAACAACAAAATTTAATTATTGGAAGAAAAAATAATAATTTGTGTAGAGATATACGAATAAAATAATTACATAATATATATATAAAACAATTTATACTTTATTTTAATTTTAAATTTTTATTAGTATTTATTTTATTATGTATTTAATTTAAAAAAATTTTAAATTATTACATTCAAACAATTGAAAATTACTTTAAAAAAATTTATATAATTTATTAATATAATTTATTAATAAAAAACTAAGCAATTTAATATTTGTACTTGAAATTATATAAATATTAATTATATAATTATATAAATATATATCATGTATACGTATATTTTATTTCTTAACAATTAATTTCTAATTATTTTAATAAATTCAAATACCTAATCCTTATAATTTTTTTAATATTTTATAAATTAAATTTATAATTTTAAATTAATTTAAATAAATATTCGAAATAAAGTTCTTTTGTTTTAAACTTTTAATCTTTTAATTTGAAATAAATGTATATTATATGTAATATTTTTATCAAACAGAAAAATATGTCATCTTTGTTTGATTTATGTTAAAAAAACATTGTATCCAAATTATATATTATTCTTATATGTATATCTAGGAATTATTTTATATTTAATATAAAAAAAAAATAATAATATTTAAAAAGTAATTATACTTAATATAATAAAAAATAATTGCACTAATAAATCATTTAAATTATTTTTTTTAATTTATTATTTTAATATTTTAAATAAAACAATAAATAATATACATTGTATATATAAATTATAAACTATAAAATCAAATTATTATATGATTTATATTATTATAATGAATTTTAAAAAAATTCTTTTCATTATTATTTTTTATATTTTTCATATATTATAATATTAAAAAATATTTCAGAAATAATTTCAAAATATTTATGAATAAAACAAAAAATTATTTATTCGATATTTAATTAATTAAATAATTTCAAGAAAAATCAAATTTTTATTCAAATATAAATAAGAAATAATATACATATTATTTAACTTCCTAGAATTAATAAAAGATATAATAATTATAATTTTAATAATAATTATTAATTTTTAAATTTTAAATTAAATTAAAAAATTACAACAAATTTCGATTCTTTTCTTTCATTAAATAAATAAAATTACAGACGGTTAAATAATTATTTTCCAAATATTTTATTTAAATAATGTTTAATATCTTAATTATTTAATGTAATATTTAAATATAATTTAATTAATTATTTAATGTAATTATTTAATTTAATGTAATATTTAAATATAATTAATAAATTTAAAATTATTTTTAAAAAAATATTATTTTATTTTATTAATTATATACTTTTTAATATATATAAATATGTCCATATTAAACATATCATTTATATATCTATGTAATATTATATATCTCGTAATATGTTCAATGATTGAGTCATATTATATACATTTGAGTCATATCTATCTATCAATTTATTCTTTTATCGATTTTCTTTATATTCTGGGTCAACGCAATACTTGGAAGTGTCTACTGTATATGCAGGTCATCGAAGGCAAATTTCAGGAACGAACACTGAGAGCAAACTTTCCCTGTCCGTTGATTCGATAGATAGCGAGGGTGTGCCTTTCATAGATAGGCACCGAATATCCAAATCAATTCTGAAGAAATCTGAAAGCAGCAATAATTACTATAACAACATCGGGGATTCAGATACAGAGAAACTTATCACAGATAATGTTTCGACCATAAGTATGTGTGATAATGAAACGAACACCTGTGATGTTTTCACCAATATAAATGGGACAAGGATGAAACAATCTGTTTCCTCATTACTCTCCAAGATGGAAAGCGAAGAAAAGAATTGTGTTTCAAAGATAAAAAGATCGATATTCGACGAGGTTCTCGAAGGTAGTTAACTAATTTTTTTGTAGTTTTGTGTTATTGAAATAAATACTAAGAAATCAATTACAAGAAATTGTTTTATAAGTTTATTTGTCTATTATAAGTTTTATATCTTTTTATTGTTTAAGAGAATATTATAGTTAGTCACTTGAAAAAAATCTATTAACAAAATTAATTGTTTAATTATATTATTTAATATCAGACTTGAATATTTCAAAATAGTTTAAAATAATATTATTGTAAAATTATTTTTTAAGATTATTTAAAATAATATTTTGTTATAATTAAATTAATTTATTTGGCATAATAGTTGATAATATTTTGTATCTAATTGATTTAAGATAAACCATATATATATAAATTTTAAATTAATTTTTATAATTTCGATATTTCAAGTTCTATTATTGTGCAAAAATTTATCAAAAAATATCGGTATCATAGTTTTGAATATATTCTTTTTTAAAATTCTATTTTCATTTACTGTTGAAATAAAAAAAAACTGAACATCTTTAAGTGCATATAATACTATGTATCTAAATTAGGTTCAAATATTTTTTTTTATAATTCTAACAAGTTGAGAAAATATTAAAGATATACATTTTTAAGATCTAAATTTCTAATTTTTAATTTGCACTAGATTTATTAAAATTTAAATTTACATAGTTTTTATATTTGTATACATAGTAAACTATTTAAAAATACTTAGATAATATTCAGAAAATATATTCGCTCTTTTTTTAATACATAAGTACTTAAATTGAATATAATATTATAAAAAAATAATATTCTACTATTCTACAATTTCCATAAAATATATATTTTAATAATTGTCAAGTTCAATTTAATTTAGGAATAATTTTATCATGCTTATTCGCTCAATTGATTTTTTTTTCGATAAAAGTTTAGTGATTGATAACTGATCGATAAATTTTTATAGTGATTAATTTATTATAATAATCCAAATTTTTGAAAAAATTCAAAAGCAAAATATTTTAAATTTCATTACTAAAATAAAAAAGGTAGTTAAGAAAAGTCAAATCCTTCATAGAATAAATTTTTTATTTCTACATATGTACATGTGTGCGTGTGCGTATGCCTGTCGTGCGTGTCGTGTACCTGTGCGTGTCGTGTGCATGCGTCTGTGCGTGTCGTGTGCCTGTGTAAAAATTACCCGATTTAACATTGTTTGCATAATGCTTTTTCTTTTAAAAATTCTGAGTATTAAATCGGAGTTTCACTGTATCATTATTTAATTTAAGATTAATTTAACTTATAATAGATATTATGAAAAATCTATTAATTATTAAGTGAATTTCGTTAGCAATCAAAATTTTTATAATAAATATATTATCTTGTAATTAATCTTTTCAAAAAAATTGATTATTTAAGTTGATTATTTATCATTTGTTTAATAATTTTTGTATTTAAATATTTAAATATTTTATATTCATATATATAAATTAATATTTATATATTTGGTAACTTTAATATTTTAATAATTAATTATTTCTAGTACTCTTTTTCATAAAATTGTATACATTCCAAAAATTATTATATACAATATACATATATAATATAATCATAATTTCTAAATATTTTTCTAAATTTTGAAAAATCATAAATCTTCTAATAAAAATGTATTCCTAAAAATTTTAATATATAAGTTTATATAATATATAATTATATATATAATTATAAAATGATTTTATTTATATTTCCTATATTTTTAAATTCATTTTGAAATAAAAAATTTTATGCCATTTTTAAATCTATTTATCACTTATTATTTTTTAAAAATATACACTTATCATCGTTTTAGTTAATTTCAATAATTTAATTTTTAATAAATTTTTAGAAGAGAAACACACGCAAGATGAAGTAATGACAGAGAATAAAAACAAAGAGGAACGAAAGAAATCGAAAGTAAGGATGGAGGAATCTTCGAAGGATAATCAAACAATGATGATATGTTCATTACGAGCCCATAAAGCAAAAAAATTAAACATCGAGGATGTTAAACGAAAGATCAAGATGAGTAGCCATAATTGCAAAGGCACCGACACGAATTGTCTTCCTCAAGAACATCATTTCCCGTCATAGCGTAATATTCTTTTAGCATAGTATCTTTGTTCTATATCGCATATACATATAGATACAAAACATTCTGCGATCATATCTTATTATTTGTTTTTTTAGAAATACCATTAACTTCTGAAACGCTTTCCGATCATATGTTAATATCTCTTTTTTTAGAAATGCCATTAACTTCTATATAATTAAACTATATATTTACATTTCAGATATAATGATATATAGTTGATACACCAATTTGATCTGTCATGTAAATATAATACGATAATTTTTTAAAAAATGATATACGTTCGATAATATTAAAATAAAGATTGATTAATGCACAAAAAAATACATATTTTCGAAAAAAAAATAGAAAGAAATTATAAAGAATGCATACGCTTGAAAGAATTACAAATATAATTACAAAAATAGTGTTCTAAAAAAAAAATTGAGATATAATATTAAGAAAAATATAAAATAATACATATATAAAAATAAAATAAAAACAAATGTTAAAAAATGTTAACAAATGTTAATCAAAGTTTTAAAAAAACAGATTCAAAAATAATACAAATAATAATAATTTTAATAATAATAGAAATTAACAATAATAATAATGATAGCAAATACAATAACAAATTTTTAGGCAATATGCTTTTTCCTGTTCGCTGAAAAAAAAAGAATTTCATGAGATATATTCTAATCTAAATAATCATATGACTATATATGTTATTTCTTCCTTTCGCCTAATTTCATTAAATTAGAAGCTTTGCGTGTCACGCGAATATTATATGCATTAAATGGCATAATGAAAACACGCGATCTATCATTAAACTATAAATAATCAAGAAATCTATCGTTTTTTTAAAACGAACTTTCGAATAAATTTTACTAATGTATTGTTCGAAATTATACAAGTGTTCGTTCGTCTGCTGAGTGTCTTATGTACAATTAGATATAATAATATTGTTGTAAGGAGATATTAGATACACGAAATGATATATGCCTCATTGAAATCAAAATATATATAAATACTTGAAAAAGTATGGGAACGTAGATTATGAAAAAACTCGATGATAACTGCCCTTTTCAAAGTTCCGATTCTTTTCATTTTTGTTCTATTTAATTAATTTTTTAAAAAACGAATAAATAAAAATAAGAATAATACAAATAATATCATTCTTATTTATTCAAATATTTTAAATAAATTTTAAATAAATGAATTCAAGACATGTTGTATTTATATAGATATGTATAAATTAAAATTATTATTATATAAATTAAAAACATTTACGGGTTGTTCTATCGATTCTATTGTATTATATTCTAGACAACAATATATAATAGTATATAAATGAATTTAAATTTTATCAAATAAAAAATAGAGTTGCAAAATTATTTCTTATTAATATTAATATTTTATTATATAATATTTTTATTATATAATATTAATATTTTTTATTATATAATATTTAAATTTTATATAATTATAAAAAATATAACTTGAATAATATCATGAAAAATAATATGCAAAATAGAATTATTAGAATCCCGTAATAAATTATTTATATTAAAATTGATGTAAAAGTCGTTTCTTTTTCATTTAATTTTAGATATAAAATTTCTTCACTTTCGAAGAATTATATTTACCTAATTATCTTTTTTCATATTATTTTATATAATCAGCAAATTCGCAGTGAAACCAAAAGTGCTTATATGCATGACTATAAATTTAGTTCGATTGTTTTTAAAAGTTAAAAAAAAGTGTACTTCTCGAATGTTATAGATATTAAATTAAAAAATGATAAAACGTGTTAATATGCTCATATAGCCAAAGCGCAAGTATCGTCTGTGTTATATCCAGGTACCGATGTTAGCTGCGGTCATGTTTTCCATAAAACTTTTACACAACCGTGTTAAATACGGCGAAATAATTGTTAATTTGTTATTTCTGCCGAAAGAAAAAAAATTATATATATAGAAAGATTTAACGCGCAAATATAATTGCAATGCGTGCTCAAAAAATTCGATCATCTCTTTTTTCCTTAAATGATGATCGTTTTTTTTTATTTTAATTGAAAGAAACACATAAAAGATCTGTCTGTAATTTAAATCTTGCTGTAATTTGTCAAACAAAACAAGGATGTTTTCTCGTACATTTTTAGACAAGTCGTCAATAAAATACATATCTCTAGTGGTATTTCTATTCATTGTTATCATAGATATAGGAAAATAAATAATTATTACAGTTGCAAATTAATGAAGAAAAAAAAGATTAATATTTCCCATAGATGTGTCTACTTAGAGATTTTTGTTATGCTAGTGATTCGAAATTCATGCTTCGAATATTTTTTATTATGCTTTTAATTAATATTAAATGTATTTTTCAATATAAAAGTTTTTTTAAAAAATAATATACAATTTTGATTGTAATTTTTTTTATATCAAATATGAATATATTTATTATTTATGAGAATGTTATTAGTTTTAAAATTTTTTCATTTTTTTAAAAGTTATCAATGTCTTTTTTTATACTTGTTATTTAAAGTTAGATCTCGATATCTTATAATTGCTTAAAGTTTTTGAATCTTACTTTGAAAAACTTTTGAAATCACTGTCTTCTATGAATTAATATAGTTGGAAGTAGAAAGATATATGGAAAAATGATTTATTATTTATTATTTTAATTATGTCTTAGAAGAATTAGTGACGATATAGATAGTACAAAAAAAGCTATATCATAGAAAGGCATCAAATAAATTTTAGATTACTAATATTTAAGATATTTAAGATATTAAAAAAAAAACTTAAATCACTGCGCAGTAAATCTTGAGTATACATATATAAAAACAATATAGAAAAAGACATTTTTTTCACTAATTTTATGTTTCAAATATTTCTGTATTTCATATTGATCTTAATTTAATGGAATAAGTCTGATGTTAGAGGCGTAACGTTTTGATAATTGATATACATAAAGTATATAAAACTGAACAATGCAAAATAGCTTTTTATCTATTTTTTGATATTTTATGAAATAATCGACAAATTATATAAAAATCCAATTAATACAGAAATTTAAGAATCTTTTTATATCGATAACAATTTTCGCCTCAAAATATAATTCGATACAAATGTTCGAAATTAAAATGTTTATTTGATTAAAAAAAAAACTAAAAATATTAATTATATAATGTACAATATATAATTATACAGTGAAATTCTCAATTATGTAGTTATATATAATAAACTGTAGTTATATAATGTAGTTATATAATGTAGTTATATAAAAGATTTTTTATTATAATATCGATCTATTACAAACATAAATTAATCTGATTTATTCTGTTGTCCACATAAATTTTTTTTATTTTCGAACCTCTAAGGCTTAGAGTTGTAACTATAATATGTAACAAATGAATAAAGTTATAATTTACCAATTTTGATTCTTTATTGTAGCATTTTTTATTAATCATATATCATTATCTATCACACATACATATATATCTTTATACATTAATAATATGAAGACATTAATAATATGTAATATTGGATGCAAGCTCGTTAATTGCATGTATATGTGTCGAATAATCTTTCGACTGAGATAAATGTTGTGTATATAAAATGTTAGTGCTTGTAACAATAAGATTGTATTATAATTGCAGTACGTCTATATGAAATCTGGATCTTTCACATTTCTAACAATAAATAATCGTTTGCGATGATCAAAACATAATGCATAGTATAAAGAAAACTATCTATTTGTCCTATCTGACATGTTTACCACAAGATGTTAATTAGATTTCTCTTGTTTTATTTTTTGATAAAGATTCGTATTCGGAATCTCTTCGGAATTCTTTTTATAATCCAATAAAAATAAAATCGATTTTCTGATGGGACATAATAATATATAATAATAACTATATAGATAATAAAATTGCAGTTAGTATTCTGACTTATACTCTCAAGTTAGAGGAAAATTCTTAAAATTGAGTTGGTTAACATTAGGATTATATCGCGCTCTAGCCAGGCTATCTCAAAAATATATAATTAATAAGTATCAACTAATGAAAAACAATGTCTTACCAAGCAACATCATTCTAGTCTCTTTATTTAAACTTAGTAGGAAGCCGGTAATTGATAATAATGGAAAAAAGTTTCCGTGCAAGAAACTTCTTCAAATAAGCAAATCATAAATATCGCAAGCATATATTGCTCGCAATTAATGTATATATTGATTTAATTAATATATGTTTGAATTTCAATTTATAATAAAAAATCAAATTTTTTTCATCTAAATTATTTATCATTTAAAAAAATTATTAAATGTTTTTTTAAATTTTCTATTATTAAAATAATTTAATATAATTTATTTAATAAAATAATTTGTTGAATATCCTTTGTTATATAATTTTCATATAAAATCTTTTTTACAATATAGTAATAATATTACAGTTGTATAATAATATATCATATAAAACAACAAAATGTACAATACAACAACAATAATATAAAAATAAAAATAAAAAGATAAAATAAAAGTGAAAGAAAAAATTATAAAAAAAATCGCTGACTGTTTTTTTAAAAATATTTATTCCTCATATATATATATATAATATAAGTTTAATATAAGTTTTAGAAAGAGTTTTAGAAAAATAGTATATATTATATAAAGTTTAATAAATTTAGAAAAACAATATATTAATATAATATATATAATATAAAACATTATAAGATATATTTTAACTATGCAATGACTAAAATGAAAAAAAAATTAACGATCATATTGATTCGCCAATTAGTGTTCACACATATCGTAAGGTATGAATATTAAATTAAACTATTTTAGTTTATTATTTTTATTTTCTTTTGCGAAAAAATATATAGTAAAATATATAGTAAATATTTATATAATATTTATGTACATTGTATATGTAAATTACATTGAGGAAAATTATGGAAGTACATAATGCCAGAAAATTGCTTTATTATTTTCATTATACAAGGACTGCATATTTTTAATGGAATGGAAATAAAATAGTCGAACAAAAACCGAACACAATCCTATTTTTTGTTTTCGGAAGTTTCAATTAAAATTTAACTCGAAGCCGGTGGTGTATTTACTGTCTCAGTTGTAGTGCTTGTCGAATCAGATATTGGTTTTTCTTGTAATTCTAGCCATGGTAATCGTTTCTGTAGTTCTAATCTATTTAAATAATTACATATATTTTATCTCATCTTTTTCATTAATTAGAAATTTCTAGAAATTTATTTTTATACATAATACAATAATAAATGAAATATCAAAATTTTGAATTATAATCAAAATTTAATCATTAAATTCTATCAAAAATATTAAAAAAATATGAAAAAATTTTTAATAAAAAAATATATCAAAAATAATACTTATTAAAAGATATACATATATTATATCATATATCTTATTATATCTTATATATAATAATATAAAATATATAATATAAGATAATAATATAAAATATAATATATACATTATTATAATTTTATTTGAAAAAAATTATAAAAATTATAATAGAAATAAATTAGAAATAATTTTAACTTCTTAATATAATATATTCTTAACATGTTCAAAAGCTTTTTATAATTGATTATATAAATTTACCTGTATTTAGGATGACTTATAGCATATACATATGGATCCAAACAAGCAACAGCTTTACATGTACATGCAGGTATCATTGTAACACCAGGTGTTAAAAGTGCTTTATTACCAAATGCACCAATCATTGACATCACACCATATGGAGTCCATGAGACAACATATAAGAAGCAAATTGTGATGGCAGCCTTTGAATATAAAAACATTAATGTCAAAAAAATATAATTAGTAGTAATAATAGTTATAGTTCTTTGAAAATAGCTAAATAAGTACATTATTATATAAATAATAATATAATATATAAAATATATAATAAATAATAATAATATATATTTTATTTTAAACAAGAAGATTGACAGCAATAGACAAAAGTAATAAAAAATAAAAAAGACTTTATGTAAGTACAAGATTGATTGTCTTCTATTTAATAAATAGAATAATCTAATTATAATAAATTATTTATATATTTAATATTGATATTAATATTATATTATAAATCAATTATATCATTATGATATGAAATAATTACATTATATAATTCATATAATATTCGAATTTCGTTTCCATTATTTATAAAAATACTGTACTAAAAATTTGAAACAAAAAGCTATTTAAAAACATTGTTTTATTAAATTATCACAGTAATGATATTCAATTAATATTAATATTAATAAAATTGTTACAAGAATTATAATTGATAAAATCAAAGAAAAAATAATTATAATTTGACCATAAACATAATAATAAATACCTTTGCTATACGAATTTCAGCACTTTGAGAACTTGTATTCGCATTACTTCGTAAACTGTCGACGTTCATCTTCTTTGCCTGTTCTCGGAGTGCTTTCTCATGATTTACGACATGACTGACAATTTGACTATAGTAATAGATTATAAGTATCATTGGAATGCAATAGGAGAAAGTAAATATGGTAGCAACAAAAATTCGTATTTCATTAGTATCAGTCAGATAATCGAAAGAACAACTGGTAAGAAAGCCTTCTGGTACAAAACGTCCCCATACTCCCATCACAGGCATTAGTGCCCATGGTATGGTATATGTCCAGATTAATACGATAAACAAAATTACTTGTCCACGCGATAATTTGCCATCCAATGGTCTTGCTATTGTACTGGAATAGAATATATTACTTACTTTATAAATGAAGACAAGGTTTTATGAAAATCATAGAATGAAGATTATAGAAAATCTTTTCAATTATATTGAAAATACAATAGATAAAATCTATTCTTATTTATTATTGAATTAAAATATTGTAAAGTTAAATTTGACAATAAGATTGTCGTAAAAATATTATTATATAATATTATTATAATATATTTTATAAATTAGCCAATTTTAAATTTTTCTTTTTTTCTTATGTAAAATCAAATTTTTATAAGAATTAAAAAAATTTGAAATTAATTATCTTATATCTTATAACATATTTACATCTCATATATATAACATCTTGAAATATTTATAATAACATAGTATTTAATAACATTTTGAAATAAGTGTGATTAATTTTTAGAATATAGAATTAAATTATTTCGATAAATTTATTTGTTTACAATTTTTCTTATTTAAAAATAAAATAAAATTTCATACCTGTATCTATCGTATGCTATAGCTGCATTTGTCATCGCAGCAGCGATTCCAGTTAAAGAACCAATGACTGCAAATATTTGACATCCTAAGTTTCCCAAAGCAAAACCAGTATTAAAGGAATTGTATATAAAAATAGGTGTCTTGATCATCATAAAGAAGTCGCAAATTGCCAGATTCACAACAAACATATTTGAAGGTGTCCTTAATGATTTAGCACTTGGATTGGAAAAATAAAAAAAAATAAGTATGATAAAAATTAATTTAATTTAATTAATAATAATAAAAATAATATAAAATTTCAATATATTATACTATATTAACAATAAAAAGAAATATATACAGCAAAATTATAATTAAAGTAATAAATCTTTTAATAAAAAAAATAACTTACGCGCAAAAGATCCATATTACTAAACCATTTCCGAGTAAAGCAAGAAAAGTAAAAAGAATATATAAAAGGGCCAATAAATAATGAAGGGAGGGGTTCGGCTCGGGATAGACTAGCCAATGTTCCGGTATATGAACTAATTCTTCAGCGGGAACATTCCATCCCAGCAAACGTGGTGGTCCTGCAGGTAAATATCTCGCTTCCCAATGAATACTGTCGTTGGACATCTCGATCACTTCGTTTGCCAGCCCCTCTTCTTAATACAGTTGGCTGTTTTATACCATTCCTTCTACCACCTTGAATCAACGAAACCTTAATCCACTAGCTTTGTTGGCTTCGTATGAGGATCAGCCGGGGATCATCCTCTAGTTGCTCTAGGTCAGCAAGAACGTGCGTCAACGTCATAAAAGTTAATCACGATAATCATAAATCAGAATTTTTTTCAGAATCATAGAAATTTTGATTTAATTAAAAATAAATGTTCCTTCGAACTTGACATATTATTTATTTCATCTTATTTTTTAATTCATTAAAACATTCGCCAATAAATAAATAAAAGTATAAAAACATTTATTTAAATATAATATATTTATTTTTATAATTAAAGTTTTATAATTAAAAATTATTTTTATTATTTTCTATAGATTTGTATGCTGTATTTAAATATATTTTTATCAGACATATAAAGATTATTGTCAAATAATTTCTAAATTAATTTACTTACAATTTTTATTAATATTAATACTTTAATGTTTTTAAAAACATTTTCTCGCACCAATTAAATAATCATCAAATGTTAAATATATAATTTAAAATTAAAGAAATATTAAATAAATACATATATAAGATATTATTATATTCATGAAATATCTTTCAAAAATCAATTCTAAAAATCAAAACAAGTATAAAAATTAATATACAAAAATATGAGTTATAATTTAATATTAAATTATAAGTAATTGAAATTTGCATTAAATGAAAAGAGATTCAAATAAAATAAGACTCTGTTATACTCTCTGTTATACTCTGTTATACTCTGTCATTTAAAAAAAATGCAAACTTAAATTGCTATTTAATAATTAAAATTTTTTTTGTTCTCAATTTTATTTTGTCCTCTCTGTAATAATCGACTCTCCAAAAATATTCCACAAACATATTAGCTCTATAATAAAGTATATTAATAAAAAAAAAACATTTTATATTAAAATAAAAAATAAAGAAAATAAAATATAATAATATATATACATATATGTGTGTGTATATATATAATACTTTTACTTGATTTTAATAGCTACATTCTGCCTTGTCTCTCTGTAGATTCATCAGTTAAAGTATATGCAGGAAAATATAATGATGAATCATTAGGATCCCGTAATCGTGGATTCGGTATTGTTGTTGATTTTGTTCCTAAACTTGTATATCCTTTATCATATAATGGACAATAAGGTACATTATGTTTCAATAAAAATTTCCATATTTGATCATATGACCAATTTAAAATAGGATTTACACGAATTAAGTTTGGCCAATTTGGATCAGTTGGAGTAAAGGCTTCTAAATTTTCTGAACCAGGATCACCTTTTCTCATTCCCATAAGACTTGCTTTTATATTTGTCCTTTCATTTAATAATGAACATAATGCTAATCGCATAGGACCTTTTTTTTTTATTAGTTCTAATTTATAATATTGAATAGCTTTTTCCACAAATGAATCCACCTTTAATACACATATAAGTAAAATTCTTCAATTAAATGTCTATAAAAATAAAAATGAAATATTTTGTTATATAGAACGAAGCATTTAAAACAAGTTGTTGAATAATCGCTCACAATAGAAAAAAAAAATGTTAAACTAAATTTTCTTGGTTTTAAAAAACATATAATTTAATGACAATAAATTTTTTATAGATGAAAGCATCTTGAAACATTCAGAATAAATAACCATATTATACCATTTAAAAATATATTAAATATCTTCGTATTTCATACTTCCATTTACAAAAAAATTGTTAAAACAAAATATTTCTTAAATATATTTCTAGAACAAAATAAGTTTAGTTTAATACTTTTCTTTCTATTATAAAAAGTGAACAAATTATTCAGATGGCTTGTTATAAATATTTCATCCTGAATATGCAAATTATATGAATATGAATAAGTTAGAAATGTAATTTAATAATTTTTAATCTTATTATTTTTAAACTTACTTCTGGAAATGGTTCCGCTATTACATATAAGCATAATAATGAAGAGATATTTTGTAATTTTGTAATACAGGCAGCTAAATGTAAAACTACTGTGCAATCTTTCCCACCATTAAAACTAATAAAAATTTCTTCTGGTTTATACCTTTTAAAAATATATATATTATAAGATAAAATAAATAAATAAATATATATATATGAAATAAATTGTAAAAAATTGTAAATAATATATACCAAAAATAGATATAAGAAATGAATTATAAAAAAATTTTAGATTTATTCTTATATCAAATGAAAATAATTATTAATAATTTCATAACAAAGTAGTATTTTGTTATAAATTTAACATACTTACATTTTATAACATTGTTGCAAAATATCTACTGCACATTTTATATGTACTTCATTTTCAGCATCTTTAAGGACTGTTTCTGCTTGATAATAACTAAATCCATCTTTTAGATTTCGAATTTTTTGAATTGGTAAAGAATATAAAAATTTTGCTTTTGCTTCCAAAACATCCTCTTTCTTTCCTTCTAATGTAATCCTTGTAAAAGTACATTCTGGTATTATTTGTGGATAACTACCAATATTAATTTTATCTTTCCAAAGCTTAACATGTTCATCTAAAATTTGTACTATTGATAACTCATTCAAATTAATATCTATTTGTTCAAAATATAAAGGAATATTCCTTTTAGTTGAGGTATAATTGTATCAATAGAAAGCTCAAAATATTTTGGTGAACCTGGTAATATATATACATTTTTTACTTTTACTATGGCATATTTTTCTGAAAATTGTTTATAATTAATTCATATATAATAAAAATTTTTTATTCATATAAATAATATAATGTACTATATTAAAACAGCTTTGAAAATAATTTTTTTTTATTAAACAAAATTTACTCACTTGGTGAATATACATAAATAAGTTCACAAGGTCTTGGCACAATAGTAAGACGTTGAGCTTCTTTTTTGTGATTAGGAAAAAGACTTAAATAGATATCAACTAATTCTTCATGTTGTTCAAGTTTTAATCCCAATCCTTTAGCTATAGCTTCATATGTTACATCATCATGTGTAGGTCCAACACCACCAGATGTAAATACAATAGAATATTCTTTGGAGAAATCAAGTACAGTTTTTGCAATTTCATCCACCTAACATAAAATGCTACATTATATGTAGTGAGAATTTAGGTTTTAATGAGAACATACATAAAAGTATATTTATATCTCAAAAATTTTATATTTTAATAAAATTTTGAAAAATATAAAATAAAATATTATTTTCTTAATAAAATAAATAAAAATTTAATAAAATTTAATATTTATATAATTATATAATTAAAATATAAATATTTTATAATTTTTATACACAATTATAAAAAACAAAGATTTTTTAAGAAAGTAATACACACAATATCAAGAATCACTGTTACTTTCCGAAGTTTAATACCAGAAGCTTGCAATCTTTTTGCCAAGTATGATGTATTTGTATCTATAATTTGTCCACGTAGAATTTCGTCTCCTATTACAATTAAACCAGCAGTATAGACAGTTTCCATCATGAATGGTTTTCCTGTGCAGATTAAAATACATTTATTTTTAGGAATTTTTCATTTAAAATTTATGGAAAAGTAAAGTTATCATTAATCAAACAAGATATTATAAAGCTTTTTGATACATTTATGTCTAGATAAATAAAAAGAGATAATTAGGTGATAAGAAACAAACCCATTAAATTTATGTATTTAATTATATTTATTTGATAAAATATTTGTTTACTAAAAACTTACATAATATATTATTTACAATATTATTTATATATTGTATAAAATAAATGAATATTATATTATTAATTAAATACAAAATATTATAAGTTTCACTAAACTAAGAATATCGATCAAATTTGCATTTTGTCAACTAAAGAAGTTGTTATATCAGTTTGTACTAGTGCTATATTTTGCATCTTTTTTTTTTTATCTTGTTTTGCATTAGTTTTTATTTTTGATTTAGACTTATTTACTTCTCTTCGTAATTCTTGAAACTGTTGATCAATTTGCACTGTTTTATCTGTATTTCTCTTAGTTGTTTTATTTTTTTTCAAGTCCAACTATTAAAATGAAGAAAAATTGCATATATTATTATATTTTATTTATTGTATTTTATTTTATTGTGTTATTACATGTATTATTGAAATCTAAATATATTTATTCATAAAGTATATAAATTCATGTTCATCATTAATATTTAAATATTTTATTTTTATAATTTACATTGTCTTAAAAAATTCACTTACTTTTTTTAAATTAATCATCACTTTTTGCGCTTTTGCCTTTAGTTTAACACTACGAACTGTTGCTACTTTAAACACATTTTTGTTCATTTGTTTCTTTTGTAATTTCTTGTTTTTTCCCATTATTTTCTGTAATATTATTACTTACATATATATCAAAATTATTTTCCATTTTTAATTTCTTCATTGCTGGCTCCTCGCCCATTAATATATTGTTAGTCAATAAAAATGATATACGAATTATTTCTTTATTTAAAGAAACATTTCTGACATAATGTAAATCAATTAAGGAATTAGATGTCAATGTACATCCAAGTTTTTGCTCTACTAATAACTGTCCCAATTTACAAGCATTTTCACCTTTATTTGTTTTTACAAAACAGTATAAATGAATAATTGGTGGTCGATAACAAATTTGTTTAATTTCATTTTCATTAAAAGAATCAAAAAATACATCTAAAAATTCAATTGCAAGTGCTGGCAAATTCATTACTATATGTTCCATACCATTTTGATTAATAGCTCGTCTATTTAAAATATCAGTTTTAAAAATGGTTTTTAAAAAATCTCTACCATCCATATTAAAAGATTGAATATTTTTTTTAACTTTATTAGTGATGATATTTTTTTGTAACCATTTATAAGATTCAGGATTTAAGTCATTTGCAAATACTTTAATTCCTTTAGAAGCAGCAGGAATAGCAAATGGTCCAATTCCAGCAAATACATCATATAAAATATCATTAGGTTTCATAAATGTTATTAAATTTTTATGTTCTGTACTTAAGCGAGGATTCCAATAAACTTGAGAAAAATCTAATTCATATATATAACCATTTTCTTTTACTGTTGCAATGGTATTTTTATCACCTGCAAGGATTTCTATAGTGAAATTTCTAAAAGTTGTATGAATAATATTTACTTTGTTCAAAACAGTTCGAACATTTGGAATTGTATCAAGATAAACTTGACCAATAATAGTTTTGTATGGTAAATGTATATCACGTAGATTTAAATGCACAATATGACCAATTATGCTATATGAAGTTGGAACTTCAATTTCCTTAGGTAAAATAGCTCTTAATATATCGTAAGATTGCCAGTTATCATATTTCAAAATTATTTTTGTTATTCCAAATTGACTGTACATTCTTAGTAATTGCTTTTTTTCATCTTCTACAAAATCTTCAAAACTTTGTATTAACAGTGGATTCAAATATATAATAGTTTCGTTATCCATATTCTGAATTGGTTTAAAATTTTTTATTTTAAACAAATATTTTTTCACTGCAGGTATTATATTTGATAGTTTTATACCATGAAATTTTAAAAATGGTAATTCAACAGTAGTTGTGAATGCAGTGCGATCCAAATATGTCATTCCTCGTACTGATTCCGGAGGAACCAGCAAAGAAGTCATTTTAGTATACAAATGATATTGAGTCCAAAAGTATCGCTTGATTAATGTAGTTAAATAATCACGCACAATCATCTATTATATAAATTATATAATTCCTTAATATGATGCCCTACAAAGAATTTCTAATTATCTCATTTAATTTGATAAATATATATATTATATATTTTTAATATAATCTATTTTACCAAAAATATAATTTAAATATAAATTTAAAACAATATCAATAAAATATAAGCAATAAAGATTTTCAGTACTACATTATATTTTATTTTACATAAAATATCTATATATAAAAATAAATGATTATTTTTATATCAGTTGCTTATGATATAATAATACTTTATTAGTTACTTAACAATAATAAATAATTATTTTATTTATTAAATATGAATCCCTCATTTTACATTGTATTATTTCTTTATATATATATATAAAGAATATAAAGAATATATATATATAATGTGTTATATATATAATACAGCAAAAACATAAACATTTTATTTTTTTTCATAATTAATATAATACGAATAATCAGGATAATAAAATATTTTATGAAAATAATTCTTTCACAATAAAATTCCAATGAATTAAAATTTTATAATTTATTATTACTAAATAAAGTTATTGAAATATATGAATAAATATAAAAATAAAAAAATAAAAAATTTAATTACATTAAAAAATTTATATTATTTCTATTGATCAACAATTGTCTATTTTTGAAAATTTATATTATTCTATGGAAAAAATCTTGATAAACTTAAATAATTATAATACATCTAAAGAATAAGTTTGTTTTTGGTTTTTATAACAATTTTATAACAATTTGAAAAATGTAAAAAACAAATTTATTCTTTAAATAAATAAATATATGAATGATAAATAAATATGAAAAACAGATGTAAATTTACCTTTTGTTATTTTTTTTGCAGAACTAATGTACTTTGTAATTAAACAAAAGATATCTCATTGATTAAGTAGGGTTATCAACTACACGTTTTATTTGCATAATACGTGAATCAAGTTATAAGTAAAAATATATGAATGAAAAATATTTTTACATAAACTACACTATTAATAATTTTTTAAATTAATAAAATTCTGATTTCAAATAAAAAATGTATAATAAATAAAATAATGTTTCATTTAATAAGTAAAATAAATAAAAATACATAAGTATTTAATTATTTGCATTGATTACTCTTCAAATATTTCCTTGAAAATTAGATAAAAATAAAAATTATATAAAATTAAAAGAAATATTGATTTGTATATTTGATTTCCATAAAATTTTATAATAATTCTAAATAATTAAATTCAAATAAATACGTATATTTTATTAATATTATTGTATTTATTAATATTATTTAATATTATTAATATTATGTATATATATATATATATTATACATATATATACAAAAACATTTTTTTAAATATCAAATTCTTAAATGTAAATCAAATATAATAAATAATAAATATCTTTAAAATTATAAATTTTTAAAATTATAAAATAATAAATATTTTATAAAAATTATAAAATATGAAATTAAATAATTATTTTTGGTGTTTTGATTACATATACAATTGCTCATAAAAATTTTCGAACATTAATATATACTTAATTTTAATAATCTATATTATAGAATTTTTTTTATTAATTATAGAAAAATAATTTAAACTTTTTATCTTTCGAATATTGAATGTATTTTATAAATATGAGCAATTTATTTAACTAATTTGATGTGATAAAATAATATTAAAAATTATATGAAATCAGAATATTTTTTTCGTCATATAAATATTCGAATATTTTAAAAATTTACATTAAATTAATTATAATAGATTTTTCATAAAAATTAAGTATGGATTTTGATATTTTCTATAATATATTTTAAGTAATCTAAAATACTAAAAATTATTTTTATTAACAATATAATCTTTATTTTATTTTTATTTTAAACGAATTTGTTATTTTTTTTTTAATATATATTGTAATATGTATATTATTTTTTATTTATTTGTCCAATTGTTTGTATAACAGTATTCATGCAACTATAATAATATTCGTTAATTTAGTTTGATAATTTAAATATGTAATATATTTTATTATATTTGTAAATTAAAAATATATTTTTCATTGGTTTATCTTGTATATAAACAGCAAATTAACTGATTTTTTATTTGAGCAAATAAATTAACAAATTATCTATATTATAGTTATCTATATATTATATTATAAAATCATATATAATGTACTTTTTCGTGTATAATTCCAAAAAATTCTAAAATAAAAATTTGATTTATTATTTAAATATTAAGAGAAATTGAAGAAAAATGCATTTTTATTTTTGTAAAAATACTTAAAAATTACAAATTTAAGTTATCAAATTAAATTAACGAAGATTATATATCAATATTAATAAACGATTTGAAATAAATAAAAAACAATTCATAGTTTAAAAAAATAACAAATTAAAATATGAAAACTTAATATAAAAAATTGCTATTTTATTTTACAATAAATTTTTAAAATATACGAATATTTTTAACTAGAAATATAATTGTGATTTTATTTAGTTTTTATAATATCAAATTATTTAAAAAATAAAAAATTAAATAAAATGATATTATATTTGTAAAGTATAATAAATTTTTTATCGAAAGAAATAAGTTTAAATTCATTTCTTTTATAAATAATAAAAATATATTGTTACATATACAAACTTACATATGAATATTTATGTGAGCAATTATGAATATAATATATATTATAAATATATATATATATATATATATATATTGATATATATTTGAAAAATCAATTCAAACAACAACAAAAGAAAAAACAAACATAAAAGCTAATATACAAAAATGTTAAGACTTATTTTTTTAAATAACAAACAATTTAAATTTAGCAATGTAATTAAGCATGTACATTAGAGATGAGATAAAATAGATGAAAATAGAGTAAAGCAGCAATATAATAGATCTCATATATAATTATATGAATAATTATGATATATATTAAATAAATATAAATTATTAATTAATATTAATAGTTATGTAAAATTGTATTATTGTATATAAGTATTTAATTATAATTATATTACTTAATATTTAAATAATTCCAAAGAATTTTAAAATAAAAAGTTTTATTTGATATAACTTAAATAATTTTTCTTACATAAATAATGATAATCTTTATAAATATATTTTCATAGAAATAAATAATATAAAATATTAAAAAATATGATAAATAAATAAATCATTATTATTACGTATAAAAATTTATATAACGTATAATGTATAATGTATAAAAAATATTTATAATTATATTATATCTATTTTTAAATCAAAAGAAAGTGATTAATGAAATAATAAATTTTATATTTTTTTCTACAAATTATATATTATTTATTATATTGAATAAATATATAAATATATAATAAAAAATTTATAAACCTAAAACACAATAAATTAGTAAAAAATAAAAATTTATTTACAATAAAATGTATTTTTTTATATTATTTAATTAAACAAATATAAATATATATAAGTATTATTCTTTATAAGTATTATTCATAAAATTCAAGTTAGATATTTTGACAGAAATACAAATAATAATATAATAATTCTTAAATATATATATTTATATATACACAACATATTTATATTATAAAACATAAATTTTGTATTTTTGTACTAAATGAAATATTTAATTAAAATGTATATTATGATTGTTTTAAAATGCTTTTGAAGCTATCTTGCAAATAATATATTTATGAAATGTTACACTCACAATTTTGTTCATTCCTCTATTATTATATTCTTTATTAATATAAAATAATTATTTTATATAGATATAGCTGTAGCTCTAACAGCTGCACTTAATAAAGGATTTGGATCTGGTTCTTCTGTTAAAATATTAACTTTTACCCATTCTCGTCGTTTATTACTTTGTCGTAAAGCATCAATAACTGCTTGTACATATAAACCATCTTCAAAAGATGATGCAGAAAATACTGGTTCTTTTATCCAACCTTTTTTATCTTCAACAGATTGGAAAGCTTCTCTAAGTGCAGCAATCATTTTCCTTAATCCTTTGATATATGGTCTTGGAATGGAGTCAGCAATAGGAAATGATATATCATGTAAATCATCTGTATCATGATATAATATTTCTTCTTGTCCATTACAACAACCATATAAATCTCCACCACGTGCAAGAAGATGATTACCTCCTCCACATATTAATACTTCTTGAGAAAGTTGACCTTGTAAATGATTACTTAATGTTGTTGTTACCAATGTACCACCATTCAATTCCATTTGAAAACTACAAAAATCTGGTGATGTTACATGCCTAATTCCACTTATATGTTTTGTAGTTTGAGTGAAAGTTCGAACTACAGCATGTACTCTTGAAGCACGTTGACCAATTAAATGAAAGATTAAATCAATTACATGACTTCCAACTAAAGCTAAAATTCCTCCCCCCATTATATCATCACACAACCAATCATATCCTATAATAATAAACAAAATTATAATTGATAAATATTTTAATAATTTGTTATATTAAATAATATTCTAACCATTATGTAACAAACTACCCATGTGTACTCTAACTTCTATAACATTTACAGGACCTTTTAAATATCCCTCTTCCAAAACTTTCTTCATATGAACAAATGCTGGTAAAAATCTTAAACTATGATTAACAATACTTATTAAGGAAGGATAATATTGTGCAGCTCGTACCATTTTTAAGGCTTCACTTTGACTTAAACCAGCAGGTTTGTCACATACAACATGTTTTCCTATTCCTAATGCTTTGACTGCAATTTGTGCATGCAAACTAGGTGAGCACATAATAAAAATTAAATCAACATCTTTTCTAAGAAGTACATCATCAATTCGACTAGTATGAAATGGTATTTCAAGATCAGTTGCAACTTCTGACACTTCTGCTAATGTACGTCCCCATATAGCTTCAATTCTAAAACCTTTTTCTCTTAAAAAGGGAATTATTATTCTAACAATACTTCCTGTACCAAACACTCCAATTCCAGGTAATGTCATACTGTATTGTTAATTTTTTATATTTTGTATATTTTTATAACTTAAATTATAGTAAAAAATATTAACGATGTTAATTTTTTTAAATTTAAATTTTAAAACAATATTAATTTTATGTTTTTTTTCTTATAATATATATTATTCTTTAATTTAGCGCGAAGAAATTCTACAACTATTACATTATAACAAATATACTATATGATTCACATTTTAAAGTTGGTATTGCATATGTTTCATTTATAAATATCATTTGTCTATATATATTATTAGAAAATCTTTATTTAAATGAAAAATTAAATAGAAATCATGTTAAAGTAAATTAACAAATAAAGAAACTAAAGATATGATCATTGAGAATTAAATATTTTTATTGATAACAAATTAAAATTTATTTTTATTATTAACAAAACAATTGAATAATTACATGTGATATAATATCCGTTATAAAAATATTTTTTTATTAAATTCTTATAAAAAATAATATATTTTTTTTTATATACAATATGAACAGACCTTTTTAAAAGATATTGTGAACAAAACATTAGATTTCATTTATACTTCTTTCTATTATTGATTTTCCGAAGAAACTCGATCCAAACCGAACATCAACGATGATTATATTCTATGTCAATCAGCAAGGTTGCCGCACAAATTTCCACATTAAGAATATTGGGGGAAATTGGTATAGTTATCATCATGACTCATATTATAGTCAAATAGAGGTAAAGGAAGATATAACGGGTGTTCTATTGTACTTCATTATTTTAGGGTTAGGTTAGCTAAAAATATAACTAAAAATAATAATGAAAAATCCATAAATGTTTTTAATCATAACAATAATCATTATTAAACGCGAATTTAAAATGTTCAAAAAATCAAAATCAAGCTAAGCTAACTGTTCTCGTGTTTTTAAACTAATTTAATTCTAAATTTTAACAATGTGATACAATAGGATACCCGTTATTTCTTCCCCCATTTCTTAATTTTCCCCACTATTCTCAATATGAGAATTCATACGGCATCCTAGTCTGTCAGTTTCATTTGCGCAAATATGATATGTGGTTGTCTGTCATATCCGCTCTATTTAATCAAATATTTAAATATGTAAATATGCAACAAAGTTATACAAATCAAAAATCATAATAATATTTTATTATTTTAAGTTTTTGTATAGTAATATAAATCTTTAAAGTATGTCGGAAATTCGTAAGAGAATAATTGGGGATACATCAGCAGAAACGCGGGATGTCAGTGATGATCAGGTAAATACATATTTTTTGTTTTTCGAAATTTTCAGTACTGCTATTCTTCTTTGAATTTTTAAATATCTTTATTAAGTTATTAAGTTTGATTGATTTAGAATTGACCTTTTATATTATATGTATATGTACATATATATATATATATATATATATATGTGTATATATATATATATAATATAGTC